GGGAGAGAAAAAGAGAGAATCCTACAAATGTATATTTTGTAACAGAGAATATGGATTTGTGTTTGCACCTTGAAGCTAAAAAGTCACAAGTTCAAGGAAGAGGAGTGTCAGACCTGAGGAGACTGCAGGCTCCAGGGACCATGACACTAATGAGCACAGTAACCATCAAGCCATCCTCAGTGTTGTGCAACATACCATTTTGTCAGCCTCCATCTATATGTGATTTAATGGTCAGAGTTTGACAGTGTTTGAAATCTCTCCTAGCACCCCAGTGCCATAGTGGATCATCCTCAATGACACAGGGGACTTAGGCTGTGACTCTTTAGTAGTGCACTTGCTTTGCATATGTTAAACCTTAGGTTTGACCTCAAGCCCCACAAAACAAATCAAAAGACAAAATAGAGAGTCAGCAAGTTACATGCCTCAAAAGAAAATGGATTTTATTCAGCATTAGTTAGAAATTTTTTTTACCTAAAAAACCAAGGTTCTTAATTCACTCAAATATTTTTCAACATATTTTTGTTGGTCATTGTGCCACACACTTAGGATATGGTCCTGTTCAAGAGAAAGAATACCTAATGATATAGTTCTCACAGAAGTTGGTGTCCAGAGGAACAGACAAAGAAGTAAGCACTCTGTGTGATTCTGACACTGAACTATACATTATTTTTGAATCCTACACTCTGGGCTGAGCCTCTGATCCAAAGGACTTTGAACAGAACCATAGCATACATGCTGTAAAGGAGGGTGACAAGATTGAAGCACCCTACCCAGGCAGTCAGTGCTGGACCTCAGGGCTTCTGTCACAGCTACATATTGCTGTGCTGTGTGGCTTTCAGAAGTCATCTTACTTCCCATGTTTGACTTCCTTTATTTATCACTCAAGAGGGATTTAAGCTCACAAATCTCCATGATGTTTAGTTTGGAAAACAATCTATTTGTCACCTACACCAAATATGGCATATCACCACAGGTTTCTAGATCCCTTCACAGGATAGACCAGGGGATAGTTAGATACACACAAATATTATAGATGCAAATGGCTATGTATCTGTGCACAATTGTTTTCTATACATATAGTGCTCTTTTGTAAGGATGTTACACATGTTTATAAAATGCAATTGTATAAATGCATCTTAATTACCATAGGCTTTAATCTTGCATATTATTCAAGAAAGTGTGTGTGTGTGTGTGTGTGTGTGTGTGTGTGTGTGTGTTAATCAATGGTAGTTGGTAGTCTGAAAAGGACAGAAGGACTCAAAAACCTTCCTCTTTCCCCTCTTCCCCTTCCCCTTTGTGTGATTAGATCATTTTAGATTGTGAGGATGAGCTCCTACCAATGAGGTAATGAGGTGAGATTCAGTAACCACCTATTTCAGGCACAAAAGACAGGAGTCATGGCGCCCCTGGTGTATTGCTAGCCCAACTCATTCTTTTTTCAAATATAATCACCTTTACGTGATACTTTCACTTTGTTTGTCCCTTTGTATAATAACAAGATTATTGCTAACAAAAACAGGACAGGGTATGTGGTAGGTGTTCAAGAAATATTTGATACATAAATGAATGAGTGTTTGGGGCACTCTCATGTTTTTTACTGCATTTGTTCTTTCAAAGAGTCAATCTTATTACAAAGAAGTAGAGCCCAGAAAAGCTTAAATGATCAACTGAATTTTCACCATGACCTATGCAAAAGCATACCATCTTTTCACTATTCACACTTCAATATGGAATGTCAGCTCCCAGCAAGATACTTTCTGTTCCTAACTCCTTACCAAGCTCCATGGTGGGCAGCTCAGGAATGTCTCTCATGATGACCAGAAAGTAGAGTCGGAGGCCCTGATAGGCATGGAGAAGCATCAGACAGAGGTCCCGGTGCCATTTGTGTGCATGTTGTATGCAGTTCTCTGAGGGGACATAGAAGCTTCCCTGAAGAGACAGAAGAAACATAGCTGAGGAATCTATACCTTAGCCTGACTTCACAGAACTCTTCTCCTCCACCCAATAGCCACAGATTATTTTGCTCCTCGGACATCAGGACTGGTTCTTAGATAATATGAAGACTTCAGGCTGAGTGTAAATCTCTTCTGTACCCCTGCCAAGTAGGAAAACCACAGGCATGCCATGCCTCTGTTGTATCACATTCAAGTGAATATATTAATAGTTATAATATTAAAAACAATGATAGAAGATAATGAATAAGAATCAGATAAGGGTGACAATGTCACCACCAAGAGGTTGCCCTCTTAGAAGTCACTTTCCCTGAGTCACAGAGGACAGACTGTACAAGAGGCTGGGTGATGGAAGAAGGGGAGTCCTTTACATGGGTAGGTGAGGGGTGATTAGGAAGATTATTAGAACAGATGAGTGAGTAGCACTGTGATATGAAGGGAAAATAAAACTATCTTATAAAATTGTAAGGAAGGATAAATTCAAGTCCGAGAGCAGTTTCAGAAGCCTTTGCACAGTGGAATCAGTTTGAAGGTATAGAATTGATAGAAAGACAACTTGGCTTGTGCAACAACAAGAAAATGTCTAAGCCCACTCAGCTCAGCATGGGGAAAAATAAAGACTGTTTTGTTTATCTCTAATAACATAATTTGTCTCTCTCTCCAACCTGAAAGACATTCTAGAATAAATGGGACCTACTGAAAGTGAGAAGCTTCAAGGCAAAGGACATAGTAAATATGACAAAATAGCAGCCTACTAAATGGGAAAATATCTTCACTAACCTCACATCTGACAGAGGGCTGATCTCCAAAATGTACAAAGAATTCAAGAAACTAGACTTCAAAATACCAAATAATCCAATAAAAATAGGGTATAGATGTAAACAGAGATTTCTCAACAGAAGAGTCTCAAATGGCCCAAAATTTAAGGAAATGCTCATCATGCTCAGCCACCAGGGAAATATAAATTAAAAACACCATCTTACACCTTTCAGAATGGTTAAGTTAAAAACCACTGAGGAAAGTTTAGTTGGAGAGGATGTGTAGTCAGGAGAACACCCTTCAACTGCTGGTGGAAGTGAAAACTTGTATAGAGACACTTTGGAAATCTGTATGATGGTTTCCCAGAAAATTGAGAATCAATCTACCTTAAGACACAGTAATACCACTTTTGGGTATATGCCCAAAGGATGCACAAACATACCACAAGGACACTTGCTCAAATATGTTCATAGCAGGATTATTCATAACAGCCAGAACCTGGAGACAACCTAGATGACCCTCTTCATAGATGAAGCAAAAGTGAAGGACCTTAAAAACAACTACATGAAAGTGATAGAAGCCCTAAAAGAGGATATAAGAAAATCCAGTAAAGACATGGAAGAAAAAACAAACCAAAAATTACAAGAAATCAACAATTCTCTTTTAAAGAGCCAAGAAAAATCAATAAACAGATGAAGGAAACAGTTCAAGACCTAAAAACTGATAGAGAAAATAAAGAAAACACAAACTGAGAGAATGTTGGAAATAGAAAAGTTGGGTAAATGATCAGGAATTGCAGATGCAAGCATAACCAACAGAATACAAGAGGTGGAAGAGAGAATCTCAGGAGTTGAAAATACACTAGGAGAAATACATTAATCGACCAAAGAAAATCTTAAGTCCAACAAATCCTTAACACAAAATATCCAGGAAATATGGGACACCATGAAAAGGCTAAACCTAAAAATAGGTATAGAAGAAGGTGAAAAAACCCACCTAGAAGATGTAGAAAAATTATTCAACAAAATAATAGAAGAAAACTTTCCCAACATAAGAAAGACATGCCAATCAAAGTACAAGAAGCTTACAGAACACTAAATAGAATTGACCACAAAAAACTTCTCACCACATAATAATCAAAACCCCAAACATAAAGAATAAAGAAAGAATATTAAGAGCAGTAAAGAAAAAAGGCCAAGAAACATATAAAGGCAAACCTATCAGATTTACACCTGACTTCTCCATGGAAATCCTGAAAGCTAGAAGGTCCTGGATAGATATTCTACCAACACTAAGAGACCACTAATGCCAGGCCAGACTACTATAACCAGAAAAGCTTTCAATCACTATAGATTGAGAAAAGAAGATATTCCATGACAAAACCAGATTTAAACAATACACAGCCACTAATCCAGCCCTACAGAAAGTTCTGGATGGAAAACTCCAACCCAAGGAAGTTAACTAAAACCAGAAAAACTTAGACAATGGATAATCCCACTTCATCAACAACCAAAAGAAAAAAGGAGAGAAAATCCACATACAATTACACCACCAACAACAAATTCAAAACAAACAAGAATGAATAATCAATGGTCATTAATATCCCTCAATATTAATGGTCTTAACTTGCCTGTAAAATGACACAGGCTAACAGAATGGATGCAAAGACAGAATCCATCCTTCTGCTACATACATGAAACATACCTCAAATTCAAAGACAGATGTTACTTCAGCGTTAAGGGTTGGGAAAAGATTTTCCAATCCAATAGACCCAAGAAACAAACAGGGGTAGCAATCCCAATACCTAACAAATTAGACTTTAAACTAAAATCAATCAACAGAGATGAAGGAGGTCATTTCATATGCATTATAGGAGACATTCATCAGGATGAAGTCTCAATTCTGAACATCTTGCCACAAATACAAAGGCATTCACATTTGTAAAAGAAACATGACTAAAGCTCAAATCACACATAAATCCTCACACACTTATAGTGGGAGACTTCATCACACCATTCTCACCAATACACAGGAAAACCAGACAGAAAATTAACAAAGAAACAAAGGAACTAATAGAAGTTATGGCACAATGGTAATTAACAGATATATATAGAATATTCCATCCAAATACAAAACAATATACTTTCTTCTCGGCGCCACATGGAACCCTCTCCAAAATCGACCACATACTTGGCAACATATTAAACCTCAACAAGTAGAAAAAATTGAATTAACCCCCTGTATCCTATCAGACCACCATGCTTTAAAGTTAGAATTCAACAACAGCACAAATTGCAGAAAAGCAACAAACTCATGGAAATTAAGTAACACCCAATTGCACAATTCCTGGGTTGATCAAGAAAAAAAATTAAAAATTTCCTAGAATTCAATGAGAATGCAGACACAACATACCCAAACTTATGGGACACTTTGAAAGCAATGCTAAGAGCAAATTTCACAGCACTAAGTGCCCACATGAAGAAACAAGAGAATAATTACACTAGAGAATTAACAGCACAACTGAAAGATTTGGAACACAAAGAAGCCAATACACCTCCAAGGAGCAGATGCCAGGAAATAATCAAATTGAGGGCTGAAATCAATAAAATTGAAACTAGGAGAATAATACAAAGAATCAATATAACAAAAAGTTAGTTATTTGAGAAAATCAACAAGACAGACAAACTTTTATCCAAACTTACCAAACAGCAGAGAGTGAACATGCAAATCAATAAAATCAGGAATGAAAAGGGGGACATAACAACAGATACAGACAAAATCCAGAAAATCATCAGGTCATACTTCGAAAACCTATATTCCTCAAAATTCAAAAATCTAAAGGAAATGGACAATTTTCTGGACAGATATCACCTACCAAAACTAAATCAAGAACAGACAAGCAACTTAAATAGAACTATAACCCCTAATGAAATAGAAGCAGCCATCAGAACTCTCTAAACCAAAAAAAGCCCAGGGTGAGATGGCTTCAGTGCAGAATTCTACCAGAAATTCAAGGAACAGCTAAATCCAATTCTCCTCAAATAATTCTGCACAGTAGAAGCAGACGGGTCATTGCCAAATTCTTTTTATGAGGCTTCAATAACTTTGATACCCAAGCCACACAAAGACACAACTAAGAAAGAGAACTACAGCAAAAGTACTCATAAAATCCTGGCAAATCGAATCTAAGAACACATCAGAGAAATCATCAACCACGATCAAGTAGGCTTCATCCCATGGTTGCAAGGATGATTCAACATATGACAATCCATCAATGTAATCCACCATATAAACAGACAGAGGAAAAAAAAAACACATGATCATCTCATTAGATGACAAAAAAGCCTTTGACAAAATCCAACACCCCTTCATGATAAAGGTCCTGGAGGAATCAAGGATAACAGGAACATACCTTAACATAATAAAAGCAAGATACAGCAAGCTGACTCCCAACATCAAATTAAATGGAGAGAAACTCAATGCAATTCCTCTAAAATCAGGGACAAGATAAGGCTGTCCACTCCCTCCATATCTCTTCAAAATTGTCCCTGAAGTTCTAGCTGGAGCAATAAGACAACAAAAGGAGATCAAGGGAATACAAATCAGAAAGGAAGAAGTCAAACTTTCACTATTTGCAGATGGTTTCATAGTCTACATGAGTGACAGGAAAAACTCTATCAGGGAACTCCTACAGCTGATAAACACCTTCAGCAAAGTAGCAGGATACAAGATTAACTCAAAATAAATCTGTAGCTCTACTATATACCGATGACACATTGGCGGAGAATGAAATCAGAGAAACATCATCCTTTATAATTGCCACAAACAACATAAAATACCTTGGGGTAACACTAACCAAAATTGAAAGACCTGTACTGTAAGAATTTTGAGTCTTTAAAGAGGAATTAAAGAAGATACCAGAAAATGAAAAGATCTCCCATGCTCTTGGATAGGTAGGATCAACATAGTAAAAAGGCAATCTACAGATACAATGCACTCCCCATCAAAATTCCAACACAATTCACAGACCTTGAAAGTACAATTCTCAAGTTTATATGGAGAAAAAAAAAGACCCAGGATAACCAAAACAACCCTGTACAATAAAGGAACTTCTGGAGGCATCACCATGCCTGACTTCAAGCTCTATTTCAGAGCTGTAGTCCTGAAAACAGCTTGGTATTGGCACAAAAATAGACAGGTAGACCAATGGAATAGAGT